GAATGTCAAATTTAAACGTTTTATCATTGGATTCTCCAACAATAAAATGCACAACTCCATGTCATGCACCGATGAGTGGATCGTCAAATGCAACTCCTGAAGCTGAGAATATTCCCGAACAGCGATGGAGACTGCATAAACTTCTCTCAACCATGTATCCACCAATGATCTCAAAGCGTTTCCACACCGTCTAATAATCCCTTCAGTTACGGCTTCTTGTTTTGCCGCTATCCGAATCAGTGCATTGTCCACCAGGAATAGCTCTGGGTCTGGATCCAGCGAGTGAGAATCGATAATCCTGATGTGAGTGATATCCCCCCAATGTTTATTGAGAGCCTCCCATTGCCTACATACTAGAAATTCAATTTCATATATGCTACAGAACAAATATCAGTGGTGACGGATTAAGTGTCTACTCTACGTGTGGAGAAATTGCAATGAGTGTCCTCCACAACTTATCAAGATGTCGAAATTGTTGTAATGCCATTGATTAGCAGTTATTCACCAAACAAAATAATTTCGAAAATTTGTCGGGGATGTATTTTTTTATGGGCTTGATTGTTACGGAGGTAATTAACGATTTAATGAGGGAGTTTACGCGAAAAAGAGGTTAGCTTTTATAAATTGAGAATCATCTTCTCAATTGAGGGTTGTAGAAGGAAATTTACTTGATTTTTTTTGTGGAGGGAGGAATATCTGGAAAAAGATGGAGTTTTTCTTGATTAAATTGATTTGTGTAGAGTAATTAAGGATTTGACGGAGAAATTCATAGAAATAAAAGCTTCGAATTTGGAGTTTTGGAATTTGGAATTTTACTTAAATAATTATTCTGGTATGAAGGTTTCTGGGGGGAATTTCCAAGAAATTTATATTTATTGTAGGGCAGGAAATTATTCACCGAACAAGATAAGAGACATCATTGTTAAAAATTGTACTATCCGCCCTCCCGTGAATCGTAACTGTTGGGAATCGAATAATATGGACTGAATTTGTTTCGTGTGTTTGATACGTACTTTCACAATTTAATTCTTGAGTGAACATTGAAAAACCTACCTTGTCCAAGAAGGGCTCTCTGAGAAATTGGGATATTTGAAAAAATCAATTTCAAATTCACATCAGGTAATTGATTGATGGAGAATGATTCCTCCATTCCATCAACAGCCTCATTTTGTTGGTTCTGAAAAATCAAATTGGATGTTCAAAATTCTAATCGCTTAGAAGCACAGCCCATTGATACATTCAGAGAGCAGATCAACGGATGAATCCCATCAAGAAAACCTTCAGAGAATGTTCAACGTGCAGAAGGATTCAGTAGTAATCAATTGATCCATCTGACCCATCAGTTTATCAAAAAACACCAACGGAATCACATGCAGTGAATGAAACGACTAGAACATCACACAACCCATTGACAGATCCGAAAGTCGAGCAGAGGGGATAAATCGATAATCAGATACTTCAATGTTTCCAAGCAGAACAATCCTTTTACCATATCAGCTGTTGAAATTATTGCCCTTGAGATCATCAAATAAATGGGGCTGAATCATGCAGAGATGGAAAAAAAATTTGATGGGGATGCTCGTGAGGTGACAATTTTAAGCGAATGCCATTTAAGGATATATTTTCTAATTGTTATGACTTACCATATTTCTGCACACTGGAACACAAAAAAACTCTTCTCAGAAAAAAAAACACAGAATCTGTGGGGAGAAACCAGCTCAAAACAACATGCAAAACACTCGACCAGAATAATAAAAAAATACGATAACGCGGCCGGTTATTCTTTGGAACTATTTCTTGTGGCGTAGGAACTTTTGGCGGTGCGCAGCGATGAACGCGTTTTTTGCGCATGCGTGAGAAAGGTAGTGGGGGACGTGCCGAGACTTCGGGAAAAAATCCGAAGACTATAATCTCCTCAGTCCGACTGTAGTTCCGCAGTGACCGACACTACTGCTAGTCGCGTGCGAACTTTCCAATGTGCCACCCCGGCTTAATTGTGCCCCAAGGATTATTGTGTTGTTCTCGAGGAGCTGTGAGGATACAAGATGGTACGTAAAGGGAAGAGGACCACCAACCGTCAAGATAAAGTGAGTTTTCTGGTATTTTCCCCCTACTTTCGAGCCACTTCCGAATGGCGTCGTCTACACTCTATGGCGGTATCCCTCTCGTGGCCCTCAGCCACGTGCAGTGGTTGATCACCCCCTATAGCTGTGTTTTAGGAGTCCTGATTGAAAATTTTAGAGGTAATCCCTCATCCCGGATTTTTATCCGCGTGTCCTTCCGATTTTTGATCGGTTATTCCACCCGAATCGGGTCGGTACCGAGCTAATATCGCGACTTCCGATTTATCCCGGTCATATTTTTGAGATGATTTTCGGGTTCAGTGAGTGCGTTTAGTTTTCAGGGGACTCATTATAAATTTTCCCGGTCGAAATCGGAGGATTTTCGACTTGGAGTAGATCTATATCTTCCTCTACTTATAAATTGCGTAGAGAGGCTCGAGCATTCCCCGTGAATGCTTCCCCCTCACGGCACCCTGCTAACGCACCTACGAGTGGCGGCTCTCACTTCCCATGTGCGTTCCCTCGTTGAAAATTTCCCTCCGGATATAAATGAATCCGGAGTAGCTTCCAATGGTCCGAAAATTATAATTTTGGTTTCATGGGTTTCTTTACACCTTCCCGAGCAAGTTGGCTCTGGGTTTTTAAAATTTGACTCTACCGAATTTCCGGTACAGCGAGTTAAGTTTTGTCGACTTTTTTCGTTTCCCCCTGTACGTTGTACGCATACCGCTGGGTTTATATTCTCTCTGTCTCTGTCTTTGTCTGTCTCTCTCTCTCTCTCTCTCTCTCTCTCTCTCTCTCTCTCTCTCTCTCTCACTCTCATCTCTCTCCTGTGAGTACATTACATGCACGTTTTGTTTGCTCTCGGTTTGAACTTCTCACTGCCTATTTCTGCCCCCTGGGCGCTTCTGTTGCAGGTTAGTTGCATGCGCTACTTTGCAACCGACATTTGGAGATATAAACCCCCTTTGTTGGTTGCGCTTCTACTTTTTTATTGCCTCTAAAAAATCGCTTGAAGACATCTTAACCTGCAAATTTTTTGGTGTCATCGTTTGGCTGTCTCTCTCACCTTCACTCGTGCTGACGCCACTGGTGAGTGAGAAATCAACTATTAACCAGTGGGAACCAGGTGTGACCAGTTACCTACCCACACTGCGCGTACCATTATCTGTGCACACTGGCATCTACTTCACCGACTCCCGTCTAGTTACTGTCACTAGCTCGCACGCTCTCACTAGACATTCCCCATTTTTACGGCCGACAAAATGGCGGATGGAGACAAGGTACCCTGTGGTAAATACGCACGTATTGGGGGGTCAAAGATGGTGCACTGTCGTGTTTGCGACACTCACTATCACTCTCTATGCATGAAAACACAGATCATCGTAAACGAAAATGGGTCGAAAATTCGGATATGTCAATCATGCTACAGCGCTAGGGGTATTGCATCTCCCGCTCCAGTAAGTCTTACTCGCAATAACTCAATGAGTTCCAATGGCTCAGGGTCATCATCACGATCTGGGGCCCTCAGTCCTCTGACACTTGCCCCCTCCCTCCAGGTACCGCCACCTCCGCCAGCTGCTGCGTTTCCAAGCGGGTCACCCTTACTATCTGACCCCGCCCTCGTCAGTATTATAGAGTCTCTGGGAGGGATCACCAAACGCACTGAGAACCTTGATGCCTTATCCACCAAACTCGATACCGTTCAATCAGAACTCTCGGAAGTCAAGGCTAAGTTGTCAGCTCTGGACCAGCTTCCAGCCCTGGTCAAGCGTGTTGATGACGTTGAGGCTGTTGTGGCTGAGGAGTGTGAGGAGATCAGAAGCCTGAAGCAATCTGTAGAGACTGATGTCGGGGCACTGAAGGAGCGAGTCAGCTTGGTTGAAGAGGAGCAGCGGCAGATGAAGGAGGATACAGCCAACTCTGTCTCGGTGTCTGCTGGTGCGTCAGCTGAAACGTCGGGAGCCGTCGTGAGCAGGGTGAGCTCCGTTGAGGAGGCGGTGAAGGAATTGGCTGACTCTCTAGCGAAGATCAACGCGGAAAGGATGAGGCTTGTGTTGGACATCCTCATCTCAGGCCTTGATCCGCCTGCGAACTGTCACATGAGAAAACTGTCATTCGCTATCTTTCGTGCCGTGTCTTCCTCTATTCAGATGAATGACATTCGCAGCGTGCGTCCTCTTCGGGTGAGGCAGCCTTCAGCTGTGGATGCCGCTGATGATAGAGCTGTAGTCTCTTCAGTACCTACGAGCACGGCAGCTGATGGTGTCGCCAGGTCCTCATCACTTTTGGTGTCAGTCTCGTCTGGTGAACTCGTTCGTGAGTTAGTGATCGCGAAGGCAACCATGGCAAGCTGCATTCGTCTCAGTTGTCAGCTGAGCTTGTGTCTGCCTCTGGAGCGACACTTCCCCTGCAGCCATCACTCATCAACATCAACGAGTTCTTCCCGCAAGATCTCTATAATCTTAGACGCGCTGTGAGGACTGCTGCCAAGGAGAGAGGCTTTCATACCTTCATTCGAAATGGAGCTGTGTTCATAAAGAAAAAGAAGGAGGATGCTGCAACCAGAATCTCATCGATGGCTGAATTAAAAAACTTCATGGCGGGCCCTCAATAAACTCTTCTGCTTCTGCTATATCTCCTGTCTCCAATCTTTCTCTTCCTCTCTCTTCTTTTTCTCAGTCTCCCGCTCCGCTTTCGCTAACTCATTCCTACCTTGAGCACAGTCAGGCGGCAGCCATGTTGGAATTGGAGGGTTTGCGTGTCTGTCATCTTAATGTGAACTCTCTCAGAGCTCACATTGAGAGAGTCAGGCTTTTCCTGGAATCTCGTCCTCCATTTCATGTTATCGCCATGTCAGAGACTAAGCTTTGCCCTCTTATTGATGACGATGTCATTTCGCTGGAAGGCTATAGGCTGTTCAGGCGTGATCGGAATATGCGTGGTGGCGGGGTAGCTTTGTTCATCAATAACTGCTTCAGGGTCACAGTTCTCGCATCCTCCTCTCATGTGTGGACTAAAAGACCTGGTTTCCCCGAGTATCTGTTCTGTGAAATCTCCTGTCATGGTGTCTTTTCAGTCTTTGTTGCAGTGGTATATAGGCCGCCACATGGTCCTTTCTTCCAGGGTAATGACTTCATCTCCTCTCTGCAGGGGTTTCTTCAGGATTATAGCTCCAAGGTCATCCTTGGGGATTTCAATGCTGGTCAGCTGTCCATGAGTAACCCTGATGCGGCTCTGGTGCGTTCGCTCTGCTCCAATTTTTCTCTGAGCCTTGTGCCGCACGGTGCCACTCATCATACTCATGGCTCAGACTCCTGGCTTGATCTGTGCCTGATTGATCATGATGACACGTTTCTATCCTACTGGAAGACAGAGGCCCGCTTTGTGGATGGTCACGATCTTATCACTGCAACAATACAGGCTGTCCTGCCTCGCCCATCTGTGAGTAGGGACTTCACTTACAGGGATTTTGCTGCTCTGGATCTTGATGTGCTATTGTCGCAGCTTGCCGGGAGCGACTGGTCGGTGTTCGATGGCCTGTCGTCTCCAGACGAAATGACTGCATGTCTGGGCNCGTTTCTATCCTACTGGAAGACAGAGGCCCGCTTTGTGGATGGTCACGATCTTATCACTGCAACAATACAGGCTGTCCTGCCTCGCCCATCTGTGAGTAGGGACTTCACTTACAGGGATTTTGCTGCTCTGGATCTTGATGTGCTATTGTCGCAGCTTGCCGGGAGCGACTGGTCGGTGTTCGATGGCCTGTCGCCTCCAGATGAAATGACTGCATGTCTGGGCGGTAATCTTGGAGTCGCCATGGACGCTGCTGTCCCGCTCAAGACGGTGAGGAAGTCCTCGAAGCGCAAGCCGTGGTTTACTGATGGGATCGTTGCTCTTGTAGCGGAGAGAGATCGCCTGTACCGTATATACAAACGTACTCACTCTCATCAGGCACACTTAACCTATCGCACGGCTGGTGATCGTGCTCATCGTGAGGTTGAGGCGGCACGTCAACTTTTCTTCCAGCGAAGGCTGCAGCCTCTCTCTGACCCATCGCTTATCTGGAAGGAGCTCAGCAGGCTTGGTGTGGTGACTGGGAATGACTCAAATCCCGATTTCGATCCTGATGTCTTGAATCGTTGCTTTGCTGGAGTGTCCTTTGACGAGACGGAGCCTTCGCTGGATGGGTTCTTGGACTCCGCTGAGCTAGGGGTCATCCCTCCTGCCGTGGGTTTCTCCTTCAGGCCAGTCACTGCTGCTGCTAAAGGGACTGATGGGGTTCCCATGTCGGTGGTTGTGGCTGCCCTGCCGATTCTAACACCTTATCTAGTGATGCTCTTTAACATCTCTTTCGCTCGGTCCTGCTTTCCCTCTGAATGGAGGAGGTCCCTTATTGTTGCGCTTGGCAAGGTGAAAAACCCTGTGTCATCTAATGACTTCAGGCCGATTGCCTTGCTCTGTTTCCACTCCAAGGTGCTGGAGAAACTTGCTTCCCAGCAAATTTCCGGCTTCCTTGCTGAGCGCTTTATTCTGGACTCCCTGCAGACGGGTTTTTGTCCATTCAATGGGACGCAGACGGCGCTATTGAAACTGATAGATGACATTAGGACGAGTATTGATAGACGACAGCCGACGATGCTGCTGTTATTCAATTTCAGCAAGGCGTTCGATTCCGTTTGTCACGTGTTGCTGCTGCGGAAGTTGTTAGGCTATGGCTTCTCAGGTTCTTCACTGAGGTAGCTTGCATCATATCTGGGTGGTCGTTCGCAGGCTACACTAGGCGGCGCGAGTGGCTGTTCATCCTTCTGTCGTCTGAATAAGGGAGTTCCGCAGGGATCTGTTCTAGGTCCTCTGCTATTGCTCCTGTTCATTAATGATGTTGGTGTAAACTTAGGGCCTGGAGTTTGGCATCTGATATATGCTGATGATCTCCAGATTTACCTGACCTTTCCACGTGAGGAGTTAGAGTATGCCATTCACCGCATGAGCAATGCTGCTAACCTTGTGACAGACTGGGCTAATGCAAATCGGCTGAAGCTGAATGTGGCAAAGACGAAAGCCATCATTTTTGGCTCTAATGTCTTCGTTAACGATGTCTATTCCTTGCCCGGTTTGTCTGTTAACGTTGGTGGCTCTGCAATTCCGTTTGATATTTCCGTGCGCAGCCTGGGAGTGGTTCTGGATAACAAGCTCTCTTGGAAGGGACATGTGGCGCATGTGACGCAGAGAGTTCACTCTGTCATGTACCGCCTTCGGTTCTTTAGAGCCAGTACCACTCTGGGTCTGCGTAAACACCTCATTCAGGCTTTGGCGTTCCCCCTGATCGACTACTGCTGTCTCGTGTATGATGGTCTGTCTGGTGTACTTGCTACTGTGATTCAGCGTCTCATCAATATGACGGTTAGATACATCTTTGGGCTAAGGAGAGACGAGCACATCACTCCCTATCGTCTGCGGCTTGGCTGGACGACGTGTGAAGTGCGCAGGAAGTACTTCCTTGCGTGCCTCACTTACAAGATCCTTCGCTTTGGTCAGCCGGTGTATCTGGCTGACTTTTTTGTGGTCAGTTGAGCCGTGCGGCCGGTGAGCAATGATGTGACTCCCCTTATGATCAAGCCTTCCAGGACTGTAGCCATCCGATCCTCCTTGCACGTGTCTGCGGCTTATTTATGGAACTCAATTCCCTCTGCAGTGCGGGACCTTCCCACACTGTCGTCTTTCCGATTAGCTGTGCGGAATTATCTGAGGGACAACTCTTAATGCNTCCTCCTTGCACGTGTCTGCGGCTTATTTATGGAACTCAATTCCCTCTGCAGTGCGGGACCTTCCCACACTGTCGTCTTTCCGATTAGCTGTGCGGAATTATCTGAGGGACGACTCTTAATGCCTTTCCTATCCTTTGCTCTCCTCTTATCATTTTCCCTTCCCCTGCTACCCAGTCTTCCTATCCCTTCTTATTCTTACACTCTTCCCTCTTTCGTCGTTACCTTTTCGCACTTGCTATTCACCTATTTGTTTAGGACCCGCCGAAGCTTGCTCTTTCCGTTGCATATTACTCCTTCTCATCTTACTCTGCTTTTTATGTATCTATTATTATTAACATGTATTGTTTACTCCATGATATTCACTGCGATTTACTGTATGCCAGCTTATGTGGTTCTGCCACCATAATTTTGTACAATATAATGTACAGCAATAAATTCAATCAATCAATCAATCAATCCTCCCATTTTGCGCTGGTGTGTACGGTGCTAAAAACTCATGACGAATACCTTTCTGTTTGAGATAATTCTCAACTGCTGCATTCGTTTATTCCGTCCCATTATCAGAACGCAATGCCTTGACTTTTCTCCCTGTAACAACCTCAATTGAACGAATACAATCTCTCATTTTTTCAAATACTTCAGATTTGGATTTCGAGAAATAAGCATAACGAAAACGAGTACCCGGATCCTTGAACAATAAATACCATTGACAACCCCCAACAGCTTCAGTTGGCATCGGTCCCGCTACATTAGTATGGATAAATTCTCCTGGCTCTGCTACTCGTGATTCGATAGCAGGTTTATGTGAAACACGAGTCATTTTCTCATGCTGACATTCCTTGCAGAAGAAATCACCCATATCATCACACTTCAAATGTCCAGCCACTCTACTCTGAACCATTCTCCTCACTGCTGATACATCAATATCTTGCAGGCGACGATAACACTGTTGGAGTGTTGACACATGCGCCAGATTAGCTGACTCTCTCCTTCTCTGACGAAAAACCATTTGATACTATTTTCGACTATCACGTAATCCTGTTGCTACAACTCTTCCTTCTCCATTCATCAAGGTACATACACCACTATTCATATTCATGACGTATCCTTTCTTAGTCGCAGCTCTAACCTACCTAACCCTAAAACAAATTCCTCCGTAAACCAGAAACATACTCAACCTTCTCCAGACGACTCGGCTCCCACTGACCATTTACATAGGCTTCAATCAAAATAATTCCAACACCTTTAATGGGAAGCAAATCCCCATTAGCCGTCTCTACTGTTCCCTTCTCAGTTTCCACCAGCTCATGGAACCAATCATATGTGCTGTTGCTCCAGAATCTGACAACCATATATCATCATATGACGCTGCTTGAATACTATCGACACTCGCCACAAAAGCTGCCTCAGATTTACTATAATCCCAAATGAGCTTGATTCGATTGATGCATAAAATCACCATTATTACCTCCATTCGGACACTCTCATGCCCAGTGACCAGACTGATTACACGCCTTACGCCTTGTAAGTTTCTTTAACTCCGCTATAGACTTCCCATGATGAATATTATCTCGCTAACTACTACCTAAATGACCACCACCTCGATGACCATTTCCCGAACGACCACCACCATGATGACCACCTCCTAGCTAACCACATCTTTGAAAATTATGTCTCATATTGAAAGCCCCTTCACTAGCTCCAGTCTGAGCCCCTGAATTCAACTGATCCCCTTCACGTTGCAATCGAACTAATAAATTTGTAAGATGTCTACCTTAGTTTTGAGGCTTTCGCGGCCATTATTAATGACGTGGTTGGCTTCCGGATGGATGCCGCGTTGAGTTTCAGCATTGCGCCGACGTTTCGCAAACATTGCAGTCTGCATCTTCAGGGCTATGAGCTCCGATTCTGAGCTCCGATGTGTGGGGGCAGTCCTTATATACCTTCCCTTGTGGTGGTGGG